GGCGGGCTTGCAAGCGGAGGTCGGGCGGCAGGACTCTGCGGGGCTCTGCGCGGCTGCGGGCGCGCAACACCCTCGCACACCAACTCGCCCGCACACGCGGCCCCTTTAAGGGAAGGGCGCCATGAGGGAGCCCAACCCGCCCGTTCCGTCAGGAGGGAGTAACTGGGAGCCGGAGTTTGCCCGGGACGGCAGCGAGAGGCGATGAAAAGCCTCGGCGCGGGGCAGCGGGAAGCGCCCGCTGCGCAGCCCTGCGGTTTGAGGGGCGCGCAGCCCCGCCCCGCGCAGCCCCGCCCCGCGCAGCCCCCCCGGGAGCGCCCAGAGGTGCCTCCTCAGGGCCGCAAACACCAACGGGGAAGTTGGAAAGCGAACAAAATCGAAGAGCCCGGCTCTTCTGGACTGACTTAGTGCCTTCGGTTTCTCCACGAGCGCAGCGTGCAATTAGCGTTATTCATTTCTTTTCTTCCTGACTCCAAGAGATCGCTCTCTTTTTCAATATAGAAGATGATGATTCTTCCCCCCCTGGAAAGGCATTGTAAGAACTGGTGGGAATATTTTCCTGTGTGTTTGGAGAACGCAAACCAATATTCTGCTTTTTCATTAATGCCTAGTTAGTGTACTAGGTGGGTTTATTATTCGTGCTATTTCAACACGCACTGGTAAATCCGTGCTGTTAAAATAGAGTACAGGGATAATTTATGGGAGCTACAAGTAATGCCTTTAATTTTGTCTCATGTATTCCCTCTGTCTGTTGTCTTGTAATTTATAAACCCAACTGTACACGACTATTTTGAGGGTTCACTGAACAGCGGCGAACGAGGGAACAAATACAGTGTTACCAGGATTCTGGGCGCTGCCCACGGACTCGGAGGATGCCGTTTCCTCCAGATTATACGCCTCTGCGGTTTCAAAGACAAACCTGCCCTTTGGGGTGGGGAGAGGACCTGCCGCTGGGGCTGAGGAGCCGCGGGCTCTGCTCTGCTCCCAGTGATGGGAGAGTTGCCAGCCATGGCAGCAGGGGACAGGCAGCTGGATCAGAACCTTTTTGCTTGTAATTCACCTGGTGGCTTTGTCTTCGGGGGCGTTTGGGAGAATGGAAAAGCACATCAAGGGTGTGCTTTTGAAATTAGTCTCCCAAACACCTACCTACCCCTTTCCAATACCCGCACACTTGGGTTTGCAGCCGGGTGTGGTTTCAAACAATGCACACACGTTTCTTTCATGTTCAGCCAAACTAGATGTGCTTCAGCCGCAGGATTGGACCAAGGCTAGCTGAGCAAACCTCCAAAATGTGTTTAATGTGGATGCCATTTGTCACCACTGCCTGTTTCACACTGTGGCTCCTCTCTATCGCTGCTGTTGGACAAAAGAGGGCCCTGCTTCAGAGTCAGAGCTTTGTGAATTGTTTTGCTAATTAAGGGTAGGCTTGTCTAAAGAAGAGAGTATCCTAAAAGGAGGAGCTAGACTGAACATTTAGTGGCTTTTTCATGTTCTCCCATTCATATTGGGAGCTGGGTTTCATCACCATACTTTACTGTCTTTGGAGCAGTTTTATTTCTTGGCTAACATGGTTTGGCAGCCCTGTGTTGAAGCCCAAGTTTCCTTCTGAAGTTGCTGCAATGTATGGGAAGTTGTGTCTGCAGGAATAGAAGCTCAGAATAGCCCTGAGGAGCCACTTGTGTGTGTGCATGCACATCCACACATATTTGGAGCTCTTTATCTTGTTCTCTTACTTTTTCCTGTCTGCTTCAACTCACTCCAGTGCTTAGTCTTCTGCACCTAGTCAGCTGCTTTCATCTCTTTGATCTGAGTTTCCTTTCAATAACTGCTCCTCAGAATCCACATTCTCTGATCAATCTGCTACTTTCTAGGATCAGAAACCATGGGTGAGTATTTTTGTGCCATAAAACACATACGTGATTGATGACTGCACCTGCAGATGAGACATTGGGTGGAAAATCCACAAAGGTCTTAAAGTGTCTAGATGTCACCTGGGCTGGTGCCTAAAATTATGATGCTTAAAACTTTGGCATGCTTAACCTCTAAGCTTCAAAGCAGCTAAACTCCACAGACTCAAGGGGTGGGGTTGGTGGCATTGACATAATATCTTGGTAACTCTGCTTTCAAGGAGAGCACTGGCGTCTTGCATAGCTTTAGAAAAAAAAAAAATTAAAAAAATTACTTTGGTGCTTATCTGCTAAAGATAATCCAGTCTGTGGATCTGGAGTGGAGGGAGGAATGATTGCGCAGTTGCAGAGCTTAGAAGGTAAACAGCAGAGCAGAGTTGAAGACACACCTCTGACCTTGCTATTGGAGTCTCCTTGATTAGGTGACTCCTTAATCAGTGTGCTGGCATTTGTTATCCAAGTTTGAGATAGTCAGCTCTGTGTACATGTCACAGAAGGAATGCTATGGATACTTGAGTTACAGCTGTTCATAAGCAGTTCTGATAGTCAACAGGCTTACCTGCACTGGTAAATACCGCACCTCCCTGGGGTCACTCTCAGGTCCCACTCACTTGCTCATCCAGATTGTGTATCTGTTATATGTAAATTCTCTTTTGGAGTGAAAACTCCACCCTAGACAAAAGCCAGGTGTGGTTGTGGGGCTGGTTCACTCCAGGCATCTCACCGATCTGAGTCTCCACAAAGACTGCAAGGAAGCAAGGGTGACTCTACATGAGGTCTGTCTCTCTCTGCTCTGCACAGCCCTCCCGGGGCTTTTCCAGTTGAGTTTGCACATCCACATGCTCTCAATCTACTGCTGAGTGCAGCAACACATAACTGCAGTTTCAGTCATAAAAATACCATTCTAGTGGGTTCAACATGGCTTGTAGGACATTTGAGATGCCCGAGACTTTGATTGCCCATAACACACATTCAAACTGTGATTTCCCTTTTTAGGTCAAGAAACCCTCCACAATGCAAGGCTTTCTAGAAACCCAGAGCTGCTTGGTTATATAGTCCATTGATGTATACAAAACACGGAGAGGACTTTACTTACTGGCTTAAAGACTGTGAACCATCTATGGAGCAGCTGCATTTATTTGTCTGTTGGACTATGTAGCTGATATGATCCAGGGACCTCTGCAGCACTAGCTCTGGTTGCTTTAAACTTAAGCTCTCTAGTTTTGGGAATGAAATTTCAAAGATACATTCTTGCCCCAGTGCTGTATCTTCTTGTTGCTCCAATGCCATTTTGTCTTTAACCTTACACACATCTCACACACAGAGATTAAAGAGGTGATGTTGATTTTAAATTGTAATCCTTGGGTGTGAAATGCTGTGTTCCCATTGTTATTATTATATAAAAGATACCCAGTATAAGAATAAATAAGTCTTCTGGTTATACATTTGTATTTTTTCT